CTCAACTTCCATCCCCCAAATCCTGAGGAACATTAGGGAGCAAGCTTGGCTCCCAACAGTTACTTGAATACATTGCTCCACTTGGCTATTAACGGGAAAGGGGACCATAGGAGGCTAAAACCTTGTGACAATGTGGGACCTAGGCAAGTAGGCTTCAAAACTTGTTCAAGTGGAGTTTGGGCAGATAGAAGTGTGTAGAGAGCACCTGGGAAAGGCTCTTGAGCTGATAGTCATCTGAATCCAGCGGTGCCCAGCAGAGCCAAGCCCTGGAAACATACCTTGCCAGAGGCAGGTATGTTGTCAGCCTGACCTTCAGCTCAGGTGCCAGGGAGTGGGTTTCATTATCTAAATCCAGACAAGCACCAATAACAAACATGATCATCTGGGCCCACCCAGAAGTGACAATTACAAAGAAGCCACAAGAATGCACACAATCTCCTTTGTCTTGGGCTTTAGTAAAACTTCCTGGTATTTTGAGTTTATTCGCTGTATCGGCTCTGGGTCACTGTCTCTCCATCAGAGGGCAGCTGTCCCACCCGGCCCCAGCTTTTTCCTTCTATCTCTGTGTCTGTCTCTTTCTTTCATTTTCTCAATCCCCAGCTGCCCCTACTCAGGAACTGGACTGCTCTCTAGCAGTGCTGGACGTGGAAAAGAGAGAACTATTTATAGGAATGGAAGAATAGGGAGAAAGAGTAGAATACTCTTTAGAATCCCCAACTTATAAAATTTTATGCTCTTATTTGGCTATAAACCCTTTTGTGTACCTAATATCAGTTGATGTCATACTAACCAGGCCATAAAATTGCGTGTTCTGTTCAAGAGAGAGAAATGGGATGCAATAAATATATCTTGAACTGAGTAAATTACATATGTGATAAACCTAACTAGGATAATTAAACAGGCCACTTGTTAACTTGTCAACTTATGGTCACTAATCATGTTAATTGGGTGATGGGTCTTTTTTTGATAAACATTTTTCTTTATGTCTAATCTCATTAAATCTTGTACAGTGACAGATTTTGCTTAGAAATGTTTATTAATAGCTCATTTTCATAGTTCAAAAAGGTATTACAGATGATAATCAGCAGAACAATTAAAAACAAAATCTCACCTCTACAGAGTTAGCCAGTGTGTAGACTTTATTACATAGGCACATATTTTTTTTAAGTAAAGCAATTTTACATAAAATTAATCACAATAGTACAAGAAAGTTTCATCAAATGAAGATAGCTGACGAATGAAGGAAAATACAAGCCTTGGATCAGCTGAATCATTCATTGGATCTTGGGTCCATCCATCTTGACACATTGAAATTCATTATGGACATTATAAAAATGCAGGGTGAGGAGGGGTGCACTTTTATCATTCTCTGACTAAAACACTGTCTAATTTCCTGAACATAGTGAAAATTTCTCCAGGCTCTGTTGGCAGTTGGACACAAAGGTTAAATGAATGTTGGCTTAGGGTCAGAGGAGTTCATAGTCATCTCTTCTGTCACCCCCATACTTTAAAACCCTTAAACACTTTGGTCCAACAGGTTGCTGTCGGGATCTGCACATCTGCTTCCCTAGAACCAAGTGGGGTCGCTGACCTTGAAGCACATGGTACTTAAGGCTTCAGTCAGTGTGTCTAGATGGCATCCAAAACTAGCATTGAGAGTTTGATCAGAGGCAGAGGATGTGGGAATTTCTTGCTCTGTCCAGTTCGAATGGAGCCATTCCATTTGACCAAATCTAAGTACAAGAAATTAAAATCATACTAACACATGCCACAGAAGAGATGCTATTTTGTAGTTTGTACATGTTTGAAAAAATTCAAAAGCTACATTTTTATGTTCCTAGGAGACAGTGTGGATAGGGAGGACTGACCCTTTCATCTCATTTTGCCATAACTGTATGACATAGTCCTAGGATGTTTACTGAGTGGTTTTTCCTCCCTCAATTTCTTCAGTCTTTTGTATAAAAGGATATACCTATAAATTGCTGATCATCCTAACGTACCTTAGTACTTTGGAGGGTTAGACCTACTTCTACTGTAAGTAGTACCCAAATACAACATCCATTTTGGAGAGCTCTCTGCTCTTCCTCACACTCATACATTGTGCTGGGTGATCCCAGTGGACCTTCCCAAGCAGTGTTCCTGTTGATCTTCACCATCCTTTGATCCTCCATATTTATCTATTTCTTTGAAGGCAACTACAAAATAGAGGATTGCAGGGTTTCCTGTGTTTCTATGGTCTGGGCAGATGGTAAAGGATAGAGACATGAAAAGGAAAAAGATGGGCCAGCTGACTTTTCCAATCTTCAAAGTTTAAATGTCTTGGTTCTTAAGACTATGTGAAGAGGCCTGTTGACATGAAGTATCACTGACAATGGCACCAAAGGGTATTTTGTGAAATAATCCATAAAACTGGAAAGGACCTGAGGGAACAATGAGTCCAGCTTCCTCACTTTCTTCGCTGAGGTTACTGAAGCCCAACTGGGAAGATTGCAAGTCACTGAACATGCAATTCATGCAATCCATGACAATGTCCTTTAAAGATTCATAGAAACCCCAATTTTAATCCCACCAATGATTTTACACCAGCAATCCTCAGTGTCCTTGTGTTTGGCTGCAGCTCCCTTTAGGGAAGCTGGCTGCTAGCACAGCACCTTGACCAAAGTAGACACTTGATAAATACTTGTTGACTTGAACTAATTCTATTGTGTATCCCTGCTATGCAATCTGTTATTTTTCTTAGGGCTCCTTACTTTTCAGGGATAGCCTCAAGTCCAGGAATTTGAGGTTTGATGGCCAGTGCTATATTTGTCATCTCTCTCTATTCTCATTCATATTGAAAAATCTATTTTTTGGAGTCTGTTTTTAAATAGCTTTTCATGACATACAATTGTTATCTACCTCTCTCCAGGAACTACCGAACATATCACTATGGATAGTGTCTTTACAAGGCCTGGAATTGCAAGGTCAGAGATTTTTTTTCAATTCTCAAAATAAAAACCAAGAACTAGACTCTCAATCAGATTTGCTAAGGCACACTAGAAGAAATGAAACAATTCCGTTTTCTTGCTTTAGCTAATACATGGGAAAACATTATTGATACACACACTTATTTTTCTATGTTTATGACTGCCTTGTATGTCTCGTTCACTTCTAATTCCTTAAATACATAAAATGAGTCATAATATCCAAAGCAAGTTTCATTTCTAAAGAGCATAATGAAGAAATGGTGATTTGTAGAGAAATGGCACTTAGACCTTGGTGATGTTTTGAAAACATCTTTAGAACTCAGGAGAGCCTCACTGGTGTGGCTCAGTGGTTGAGCATCCACTGATGAACCAGGAGGTCATGGTTCAATTCCTGGTCAGGGCACATGCCTGGATTGCAGGCTCAATCCCCAGTGTCGGGTGTGCAGGAGGCAGCCTGCAACGATTCTCTCATCATTGATGTTTTTTTCTCTCTCTCCTTCTCCCTTCCTCTCTCTTAAATCAATAAAAAATAAAATGATGTTTTTGTTTTAAAAAGGTAATTTGCCCAACTGTGTTTTCTGTGTAGGTGACTAGCAAAACACTAGGTCTGGAAATATATAGTATTATATTCCCCAAGCCCCTAAAGGCTACCTTTAATCAGTTTCCCCAAAATAGTAGAGGAAAAACAAATTTTATGAAATCAAAGTGGTAGGTTTTTAAATATTAATAACTTGCTTGCTGAATCTAAAGACAGCATGGAAGGAATTTTCCCAGCCCTTGGTTAAAAAAAAAAAGTCCAGGTGAAAGCATGAAGCAATCAGAATTGAGCCAGTGGGGATACAAGGTCCAACAAGCAATACACATGTGATGCTAATAGGTGAGGCAGAGCTCTTGAGAGGGCGTGTGGATGTTAACCTTGGGTAAGGAAGGTGCCGGAATGACCTTCACCTTGCTAAGTCTTCAATTCACCTTGTTGTTTCTATGAGGAATCTCATGTGCCTTTAGTACAAGAGGGGAAGGGAAATACTGTGGAACCCTCACTTGACACCACTCACTGGGGGACCCTGCTATATTTCAAAGAGCATGAAAAACCACTCCTAGAGTCAGAGAGCCCTATTACTACTATATGTAGAAGGGATCTTGGTCATCAGCTCAAATCCAATGTAAGAGAACCTTTTGAAGCATTTGGGAGAGATCATTATTTTAACTTTTGCCTGAGCATTTGCAGCAACAGGAAATTTTGCTATTGAGTCCATTCCTCTTTAAAGCAACTCTTATTAGAAAACTTTCTTATATTTGAAGCAAACATCTGTCATGTATCAAGTTTCCCTTTGTTCCTATTTTTGCCCTTTGAAGCTACACAGAATAAGTCTCAGTACTCTCCTATTTTATAACTCAACAGAAATTTTAATGCACCTATTATATCATTTCCTCCTTTTCTGCACTTCCTTTTCAGCTATACCTTCTGTTCTTTAGGGATCTATTCCCCTGTTCCTTGTATAATCAGACCCTTCACAACCCTGGCCACCTGTCTCTGGACACAGTCAATGTATTAATGTCTCTCTCAAAATATAGTACCCAGAATTGAACCCAACCCTCCATCCAGATGTGGTCTTACCAGTGCAGCTTGCAGGGCTCCCTGGACTTCTATTACCACAGGTTGAATGAAATAGCTTTATGAATAGCCACAATATACTCCTGATTCAAAACGGAACTCCTATTTCCATAAGAAAACATTTCTACATGAACTGCTATGAAACCATGACTTTCCAACACCCTTCCCATCAACACACACACACACACACATACACACACACACACACACACAATATACACACACATCCACAAATACACAACACATATACCATGCTGTTCTTAGAGGGTTGCATTTAAGAAAACTCAAAATATATTTTTTCATTAATGCTTCAATTTCATCTTTTTAATTTCAGTCTTATGCTCAGGTATTTCAAAAAATTATAATGATTCCTATATCCTAGTGTCAGTACATAATTAGAATTCAATGACTATTCATTGAATAAGTTAATCCTGAATCTCCTGGTCAACAGACTAGATATATGTCTATTTCTGTGTCATCTACAAATCTGATCAATGTGCTCTCTGTCCCCCTCTTCCATTCTTCATGGATATACAGAAAGACAGAGACAGGCTGCCTTTGAATTGTTGAGCAGGTATCCCCTTCGGGATGGCTGATGTAGCTTCTTGTGTGGTAAGAAAACACCAACATACAAATAAGAAGCAGAGGTGCAGAATGTGAGCCGGAACGGGTGAAGGCAAAGAAGATTGAGTGTCCCAGACTCTTAAAATCTATGTTTAAAAAGTATGGCTTTCCCACCATCTCTACCCTAGAGTCTTCTGCCTTTTAGATCTATTACAATACTGTGCTTGTCAAACTCTGAATTTCTGGGAAAAGCTCATACAAGCTTAGTTTTAAAACAGCTTTGAAATGATCTCTTCATCATACGTTTCCTGAAAAGTCCGAGTTACAGAGACATGTGCTCTCTATTGGCTATGAGGTATACAAAGAGCTCCCAAATGCCTGAGGTATAACATATATCCACTTGTTTCAGAAATCAGAAATGGCCTATATTTTTCAATGTGAATTTGGGAATTCACTGAGATTGAAGCTGTCTCCTGAATTGAATATAACCTTACAATGAATGTCCCTTTTCCCCAGAATGAAGAAAAATAAGGAAAGCATCCATTTTGCTTTCCTTTCAACAGCCACCCTTTGCAGAATGTGGGGCTAATCACAGAATAAAAGAGTATCTTCCTGTGCCTTTTTCCCATCCTGTGACCAAAACCTTAGAGAGATGGAAAAAGTGTTTCATTCAAAACAGTCTAGCATCTCGAAAACGTCTGTTGCATAGTGTTCATATACAAAGAATGGAGACACCTGCGAAAGGACTAGGAAACCTAAAGAGGAAATTTGTTTTGTACCTTTTCTGAACCTTTTCTAGAGGGAGTGACAGAGATGGGTTCTTAATTAACCTCTCAAGACCGGGTTTTCCAGAAATTCATGTAAATGACAGAACACCAGAAGGAAATCATGCCAACACTGATGCGGAGGTTCTTTTCCTGACTCTCCTAGTCACAACAAACCACACCCAAGTGCTGTGAGATAAGCAGAGGCAGAGGCGGCTTAATGAGGAAGCTCCAAGCCAGGTGAACCAGCTGCTTCAGGCAGTCAGAGCCTCTCTGCAGCCGCCGCCTCGGGTCTCCTGTTCACATATAGGCAACTACAGACGGGAAGGTCCGATACACTGCTCCCAGCATGGGGTAGTCATGTAGGTACTGACTTGAACTTCAGCTATTAGGAAGATGTCCTATTGGAACTCTCAGGTCACGGCCTCTCAGCGAGGCTTTGTCACTGGACCCCACACTCCTTGGGGTTTTCCACTTCCTCTCCTTCAAAGTCCGGCTTCAAACTCTTTTTTTGCTCAATCTCCACCTGCCAGGAATAAAAGTTGGAGAGAAATATCAGAAGAGAAAACATCCCAAGAAATAAATAAACCAAGAGAGAATACCTCACTGGGTTTAGATTCCTTGAGATTCCTCGTGATTTTGTCATGTTTTGGGGTTCCCTGGTGCCATTTGCCCTGTGTCTATGATGATTCTCTCTTTGCACAGACTCTTCACTTGGTGTGGGATTCCCTCTCCCTCACTGTCCACCTGAAAAATTCTTATTCTTTGTCTTGCACAGCTGCTCAAAGGTCATCTCTTCTGTGAAGCTATTCTTGATTCTTTAGGTCAGTGGTTCTCAACCTTCTGGCCCTTTAAATACAGTTCCTCATGTTGTGACCCAACCATAAAATTATTTTCGTTGCTACTTCATAACTGTAATGTTGCTACTGTTATGAATCATAATGTAAATATCTGATATGCAGGATGGTCTTAGGCGACCCCTGTGAAAGGGTCGTTCGACTGTCAAAGGGATCGCGGCCCACAGGTTGAGAACCGCTGCTTTAGATAGAGTGAGGCGCTCCCCAGTGCGTATTCCCACTGTACCTTCTACACTGCACCATGGGCTCCATAGGACAAGGGCTGGCCCTAGTCACTACTGCATCCCAGTAATGTAGGCATATAGCAGGCAAGCACAGAGGTTGATAAATGAATGGCTTCCTTTGCAATTGGCTGTTTACACTCTCCATTACTGTATCTCTTTAAAAAAGTTTCCAAGCTGATAAGTATTAGTGTTTTCAGTTCTACCCATATTGTCTGCAAAACACTGTAGCTGTAATTGTCAAGGAATCAGCAATTAATCTTGCCCTGAAAGCGACACACTCCAACTGGAGCCTTGGGTAAGCCAGGCAGGGGATCCTTCAAGCTAGGAAGCTTCATAATTAAAGCTGCTTCCCTCAACACCAAAGTGGACATTTATGACGAGGGGAAAAAGTCAAGACAGAACAGTTGACTAGGGCAGCGATTTGCTGCAAGAATTTTTAAAACATGCAGTACCTGACTATTTAGTCGGGCACTGACCTCCTTTCCCTTAGACTGTAAATAAAACAATGACAACAGCCAACACAAAAATAGCTGTCTGGTGTGAATGAATCAAAATTATATATATTTTTTCTCAGATCTGTAAAATAATATGTTTTTTGGTGTGCCACAGAATTTTAGTAATTAGTTTGTGTGCCATGAGATGACAAAGGTTGAAAATCGCATGTCTGAGGAAAGTGCTGTTTCTTTTTTTTCTGGCCACAAGATGGAGTATGTGTTCTTTTTGGTAGACCACACAACTAAGGAGGCAATTAAAAACCAATAAATCACCATATTATTCTAAGGATATTATTATGAATAGAAAATTATTAAGCCAGTTTGCAAAATCCTTTTTCAAAAGCCATTTCCCATCCCTGGCATTAATATCCTCCCACTGAATCGCTAACTCCCCCGGATATAGTCACCATTCGTGTCAGCACACCCCAGCTTGGTGTCTGTCCTTCCACAGCCTGATCCTGTTACTACTCTAGAAGCTGGTTGGGCTTTTGAGTTCTGTCCTGTGACAGCCCAGTGACCAGGTCATGAATGTCCTAACTTTACTCAGACCCACATCATCAACTCCTGTAGCTGCAATGTATGCTTTGGGCTAGCTTTCCTGACACTCCTCTTGACTTCCAAATTCACTACTCTGCAACATAAATTACATTATGAATGGATAATAAAATCCCTTTATCCCAGTCCTCTTTTTTATGTTGTTGTTTATGATGACATTATATTCTCCTCTTTCATCAGCTTCCTTATTTTTTTCCCAACCTTCCTCTTGCCCACAGAGAGATTGTTCCTTTACATCAGAGCAGACTCGCCCATGGCTATGTACCATGGCGAGCCGCCTCCAAGGAGGTAAGAGAACACTGCACCCAGCGCAGGCACTGCTAAAAGGAATGAGAGGGGGGAGGGGAGAGGGGGGAACATCAGCCAGATGCCTCCCAGGCTACCTGGTAGCTGTAGTGTGCAGAATAATTGACCCACTTCCTGACGTCAGTCTTGTCTTCCACAGAGATGGATCTTACAGCAGCTTTGGAGGCCGAAGTGGTGGGCATGCTGAACTCGACAGTCACGTGATTGGCAAATCTGGAAGGCACTTCCCGGTCCGAGCCAAGTTCAAGGTGGCAGAAGAAACAGTGTGGGTGACCAGAAGCTATGAAACAAAGATAAAGAATCTACAGATCAGGTTCTTTGGGGAGGAAGTGGAAGAAGAGCCACCTCAGTAACAAAGGAGGCCTGGAGGCCTGGCCAGTGTGGCTCAGCTGGTTGGAGCATAGTCCTGTACACTGGAAAGTCGCATTCCTGGTTAGGGCACATACCCAGGTTGCAGGTTTGATCCCCAGTCCAGGTGTGTAAGGGATCGATGTTTCTCTCTCACATCAATGATTGTTTCTCTCTCCCCCTTCCTCTCTCTCTAAAATCAATTAGAAAACAACAACATCATATCTCAGGTGAGGATTTAAACACACACACAAAACAACAAAGGAGGCCTGGAAGTCTTTCGGAGGGGCCAGCTGTGAGCAGAGGCTTTGCCTCTGCAGAAATTGCTCCGACCCTCTGATACAACACTATCTGATGACAGTAGCCTGGTATCCTAGCAATGGAACCATGGCTGAGAAGCAGAGGTCATTCTGCCTACTCACGTCAGGGTGACATGTGAGCACAGCACAAACACTAGGAAATGGGGGCTGTAGATTGGCAGAGAGGAATAAAAGGGCTCGGCATTTAGCACCTAATAAAACATCAGTGACAGCCACCTGGAGAAAAATCAATTTCCTTTGAAAGATAAATTGAATTTTCTTTTTTTTCTTTTTTTTAGAATTTTTAAAATATATTTTATTGATTTTTTTACAGAGAGGAAGGGAGAGGGATAGAGAGTTAGAAACATTGATGAGAGAGAAACATCGATCAGCTGTCTCTTGCACACCCCCTCCTGGGGATGTGCCCGCAACCAAGGTACATGCCCTTGACTGGAATCGAACCTGGGACCCTTCAGTCCGCAGGTCGACGCTCTATCCACTGAGCCAAACCGGTTAGGGCTTGAATTTTCTTAATAGCATTTCATATTTTAAAAAAATGTTTTTGGCCTGCTTTTGTGGGTGAATGACATGAAAATGACAGCGCCTTTATAAGCACATTTATATTAGGGAAGCACAGCAAACACCGGAGAGCACACAGACTAAGAGTCAGCAAGCATCCCTGGATTTGATGTCCAGCTCTCCCGCTAAGCAGCAGAGATCCTGCACCTGAGTCCTTTATTCTCTCCAGGCCTCAGTTCTTCATCTGTAAAGTAGGGCAGCTGGGTAGATGGGTGTGGGGCGGTAGGGGGTAGGGGTGTGGGAGCGGTGGTAGGAAAGGGTGGACTGGACAATGCTAGGCATAGACCCTTCCTGTTCTTTGATTCTATTAATCTATGGCTCATTCTACTGTACTTGGATAGTAAACTCAAGGTTGGATTTTCATGGAGAATTATTACTAGGTATTTGAGGGGAAAGGGTTAGAGCTTATTTCTGTGACTGTCACTCATGAAGCTCTGTGGTCGTCATCATTCATCAGATGCAGCAGGACATTTGTTGAGTGCTCTGTGCCAGGTTCTGTGCTGAATGTTTTCCATTCTGCAGATTCTCTCACAGCCGCTTCGTAACAGAATCTGGAGGTCATAATATTATATTCTACTGCAAAGAAGCAGAGCTGAGACCTGACTGAGCCCAGCCATCTGACCCCAAATTGTTTTAACCACTCTGTCTGAGTCATAACCTCTTGTTTCCAAATCTCAAGACCAGGTCTTTGGGGTGACAAGGTCTAAGGGGTGACAACGTCTGCAGGGGAAGTCAGCTATAAGAACCCACACATAGCAACTGGCTACAGAGAAACAATGTTACACGGCTTTGATTTCATTACCTAACAGAAACGGCCCTTAGTTATCTGAGTTTTCCCAAATAAACAATTCCAAGTTCCTTTATTGGTCTGGGAGGGACTTTTTAATCTCAGTAAGCGAGGCCCTCCACACACCCTCTCTCCAAGGAAAACATTACAGAGTGAAGTATTTGTTTTGCTCTGTTCCACAAATGTGAAATGTTTCACTGGTTCTTTCTAAAGAGTAAAACTTTAGGAAATTAATTGAAAAATTTGCACTGGTTTTAGGAAAGGAATTTAAGATACATGTAATAGTAAAAATTATATTATTTAAAAAGACATTCATTTTTTAAAATATATATATATTTTTATTTTTTATTTATATATATTTTTTTATTGATTTCCAAGAGGAAGGGAGAGGGAGAGAGAGCTAGAAACATCCATGATGAGAGAGAATCATTGATCGGCTGCCTCCTGCACGCCCCCTACTGGGGATCAAGCCCGCAACCTGGGCATGTGCCCTTGACCGGAATCGAACCCGGGACCCTTCAGTCCACAGGCCAACGCTCTATCCACTGAGCCAAACCAGCTAGGGTGACATTCATTTTTTAAAAAAATTGTGTGCCACAGATGTAATTATATAGCTATCATATATTGAGCATTTATTATAGGCCAAGACTGTGCCAACCACTTAAAAGCATTTTCTAATTTCATTCTTAATGGGTTAGGTATTAATAACCCTATTTTATAGGTGAGGAAAATGAGATTTCTCTGAGAGGGTTAAGTAAATTGCCTGAGGTCACAGAGTCATTAAGTTGTAGTACTGGGAATAAAACAGACCTGACTCTAAATTATGCTTAAACTTCTCTCAATGTACTGCTATAGATTTAAATCACTTCAACGTATATAGAGGAGTTTCTAATTTCATTCAATAGCAACCTGAGGAACAGTTTTACATAATGACCCTTATTTACACATTTTGAGTATCGAGAAATCATTACTGTCCACAAAACTGACCCTCTTCTGTCACCCCACCAAAGTGTATTCACAGCTAACATTCTTTCTTGATTACCAGCATCAACTAATGGATGTGTAGGGCTGGTGGACAGATAGGGAAGTACAATTTTGAATTTTGAAAGCTAGTGTGGTTTAATTTATGGTTATGAGCTAATGAGCCCATGCATCATGCTGGATGAATTTGAGAACATTTACCATTACAATTCAGATTTCTATTTGCCATAAATGGGGACTCATATTGGGTTTGTTTTCTCTTCACATGGTCTTATGAGAACTGGAATTCCAGCAAAGAAAGCTACTTGGGCAGGACAGAATGTTTTGTTTCCTGGTGGAGAATCCGGGCAAGCAGCAGGACTGGTGCTTTGTTCCGGTGCCTTCTAGGATTAAGAAAAACTTGGGAATAGAGTGGGAGGGGTCCTGTAGAATGCAGAGAGATGGGGGCTGCACACGCACATGGCTGGGCTGGCTCCCAGTGGCGGCTTGTGAAGTCTTTTGAGGGCTGGGATTGGGACACACCTGCTGTGGCTGAGGCGTGGGCTGCCAGCAAAGCCAGAGGTGCTGCCCTGCTGGCCCATGCTGCCTGTGCTCTGTCTGCCCTGCCCGCTGGGGCTGGGGATGCAGGGCCACTGCAGGTGGGAATGGGTGTGCAGAGATTTAGGCTTCCTTCACTGTAAATGGAGGGTGAGGATTATGAAAAATAATCTATAAAAGGCACCTTCCCAAGGCTGTCTGAAGACCTGGACAGAAGAACTCCAAAAAGGGACAACTACTAATAGATCATCAATCCTCTGGTTTCTTGGCATGGGATGGGGAGGACAGGGCTGGGCGCAGCAAGTACCAGCAACGGTGAGAACCTGCAGTCTCACTGGCGTTCAGATCCTGTACACCTCCAGTTTCAAGGAAAGGGTGCTATCCATTTCCTAAACTGATCCAGAAGTGGCCAGCAGTTTTACAAGAGTCCCTTTTTGGGGGTTTCACTTCTAAATCTATATAACCATGACAGCAAAAGCAGTAACTGGGATGGGGGGAGGAGGAAATTTCAGTGAGAAACATGCCCAAATATCCCTATGTTTCCCTGTATTTCAAAAATCTTTTACAAATAAGGTTACAGTCATCTGGAAATACATATGTAATATGTAAGCTGTATTTACTTGGCCTTGAGCCTACTGAACATTGCCCGCTGGGAAGCATTAGGAAAGTGTTTGCTGAAGACCTATTTTCCCCTGTCCTGGATCCATTCCCATTTCTTCTGGTGACAATCCCCCACGCTCCCCTCCCCTCCTTTTTGGGAAATAATCTTTCCCAGCACTGTGTCATCTTGGTGGGCTTGTCGGTCAAAATGCACTGTCCTCCTTGACTCGAGCCAAGTGGCACAAGGACAGAAACTGGCTTGCGATCAGCCCCAGTGGCTGCAGCCTGAGGAGACACCATAGTTCCTCCTATCCAGAGCTGTCCTTCCTTCAATTCTGAGCTGCCCAGATCCTTCCAACAGCTTCCTTTTCCTTAAAGCAGCCAGCCAGTCTTTGCGGCTTATAACCCAAAATGCCTCAGGTAATGCTTTCAAATAATTGAGAGAAAGAAGTTTGAAACAAATGGTAGATGTGTGTATACATTGGGAAAACTGCAAATCTCAGCCCCCACAGTGGAAATTATTTCAAGTTTGGGTCTATTTGGTGTCATTTACGTAGAAGCAGCTGTGGTGTTGGGAAAAGAGCCCAGATGTGGCTTTGTGACTTCAGACGAGTCCTGTCACCTCCTGGCCCTTAATCTTCTCCTATGCAGAATGACGAGTTTGAGTAAGTTGTCCCCAACATCCGTTCTACCTTGAAAAACCCAATAGTCCCAAAATAAAGTTATCTGAGTCCATGCCTAATAGTACACTCAAGAGCTAAAAATCCCAATAAACGTACACCGGAAGCCTTGTTTTTCCCCATGTCAAGTGTCTAGCAGGTTAAACAGTAACTTTCTCCCTGTCTCCTCAGTTCTTTTCCCAAGGCCTCTGTGGCAGAGAATTCAGGCTTTCTCCTTTCCTCCACTAATTCAGAGGGGCCTGTGGCTGAGGTAGAAATCACAGTGCTCTCGCCAGAATACAGGGATCTTTCAGGGAGGATGAATTAACAAGCACAAAGAGGAAGACTTTATCTTAAAAGTTCTGTCAGTTTAGAAACAGAGGGTGGCAAATCCAGCCCCAGACACAGAGGTCCAATTGTCTCCCTGGTCTGCCCTGCTATGCCCAGTGTCTGACACAGCCTGCACGGCTCGGGATGCCTGGAGAGTTGACTAGATCCCATTGCTTCTTGCCACTCCATCATATTATATTTAGAGTATGATAACAGCCTCTCCACACAGAACAGGAAATGAAGACACAGAACACTGTTAGGATTTCATGGTGAGAATGGAAAGAATATCTTCACAAGAGAAAGACATTCCAATCAAGAGTTCCCCCAAACCGTATTCTCTTTGCTCGGCTAGGATACCCACTTTTGTGATCAGATAAGCCAAGTTTATTATAAACAAGAAGAGAAGTGGTTTAAAAGAGCACAGGATCATGGGCGCACTGCCTGCCACTGGGGTCACCCAGACTTACTCTCATAAGTAAGGCTATAGAGCTGGCTTGATTGCTCCCTAGTTTTGTGGTTTCGCTGAATCTCACTGGAACCATGAGGAAAGTCATTGCCTCCCGGGCTCACGCAAGCACAAAACCATCCCTGACAGCTGTGAGCAGGCCCGCTAGGGCTGGTCGGCTTTATCTCTTTGTTTAAATCACACATTCCTTCCTTTACTTTTTGTCTGGTAGAATTTCAGCCTTTTTGGACCGTCATATTCTGGCTGGACCTTCCATCTGATCAGAGGCCATTTCTCCTCTTCCCCTTTCCCAGATCCCAACTCTGAGCTCAAGATGTTATGATTGACAGGCCTTTCACGGGATGGCTGGGATAAAAATATACTCCTCACCTGTATGCACATATGATCAGCCGTAATGAACCGGCCCTTTTATCTACGCCAGAGCATAGTTTAAAAGGCATCTCTTCAGAACCCAGAAGCCTTCTAGGATCTGGCCATGGATAGCTTCCAGCAGCATAGATAATGTTTTAATGAGTCAGAAAGGAATATAAATTCATAGCTGCCCTGGAAAGCCACTTAGCAGCTCAGTCGAGAAGAATGCAGAGCTTTATGGAAGACGTGTGACCATTCAGGAGGTGAAATGATGGAGCGAAGTGTTTGTTACTTACTTTGCTCAAATATTTTTGCTTTTCTTGTCCCACTCCCCATCCGTCCCCATCCCCATCACACATCAAAACTCAGCACTTCACAGGAAAATAGGATGTGGAACTCTGATCCTGCTGCCTCGGCAACCGGGCAGTGGTTTTCACAGACGAGAACCCTCCACTTACCTGAATTCTTGTCAGGCAGCCGGTTTATCCTCCACACGATGGAGTTGAAGGCATGTTCGTACTTAGCAGTCCCCAGAGTCACTCTCATGACAGGCTCGGAGCCAGACACACTCGTGGAGCCAAAGCTGGCCCCCCGGTTGACCTTGGCTTTCAGAGACTTTTCCCCCAGGACGCTTTCCCTGCGGAAGTTTTTCACCCACTCACTGGGCACAGGGTACCGAACCATCACGTTCTCACAGGGAACCTGAGTGAGGGGGTCACAGTTAGAGGAGAAGCCGGTGGACATCCTCAGCCAGCTCTGCACCTCCACCTCTGCCCCGTTGATGCTGGCGGCCGTCCGGAGCGTGAAAGGCAAGGTCTTCTCGGCAAACACTGTCCTGAACCGCATCAGCTCGAAGCGGCACGCGTCCAAAGGGTTGAACAGGATAACCCGGGAGCTGTTGAACACATCCTCGTCCACACACCCGTGGAAACGGCACTCGTGGAGCTTGATCCACTTGGTGGTGGTGGTCGGCATGATGTCTTGCCGGGAAACGACTTCGTTCCCCTTGACCAGGACGTCGTTGAGGCCCAAGCGGCACTCTGCCAGCCCCGAGAGGAAACTCAGGATGTGGATTCGTGTCAAGACGTGGTGCTGGAGAATCTGGTTGTCCCCTTTGCTCACGAGGGCAGAGAATTCATCTCTGACATCCACGGTAATCTCCTCTTCTAGGTAGTTCAAGCCGACTGTGCTCAAGTCCATGGACAACACGGGCAGGTCCATGAGACGGTCCTGAACCGCACGGATGAAGCTCAGGAAGTCATCGTAATTGGTGGTGCCCAGTTTAATCACTTGTTCCCTCTCGGCGGTGTGGGCGACAGCAGGTTTGGGCTGGTATTTCTTCTTTTCCTTGTACGTGACGCGGTCTATCCGCAGGCTGTGGATCCTGCCATTTTCATCATAGTTTTGGAGCCGGGGTTCTGAAATCTCATGGCAGATCTCCAGCTTGAACTCTCGGAATGGCTTCTCTAGGCCCTGCTCATAATACAGCTGCAGGTGACCAGTATCTGTTAGTCTGATGTAGATGGGTCCCCAGTGTCTGGAGGACATGATGTTTTTCTTCTCAGGGATCCTTAGCATCATTGGCCACCCATCCCTGGGCTGGGAAGGTGCTGAACCAGGCGGGTGGTCGAGTTCGAGCCAGGCTACTGGGTCATCATCAGGCAGTGTCGCACTGCCTAAGTGATCGGGGTCATCAATTTGGAGTTGTTTGAGTTTTTCAACAGCATCAGAGTGTGACTGGTTTTTGCTTGAGTCATCAAAACTGATGGCATCCTGGTAGATGACAATGAGAGAATCCCTCTGGCTTTTGCCTGTGGTACTAGATGTGGAATTGGTTTGGGAGCGCCTCTCCTGCTCCTCAAAGAAAGCACTGAAAGGGTTGATTGGGGAGGGTTGTACATCCTGGAGAGTCTCATTCAGGAAAGGGTTGGTGGCCCTCCAAGGTGGAGCCTCGGCTATGGGAGGCGGATGGTTTAAGGAGGAAACGTCCAGCTTCTGAACTTTGGAGAAGTTTATCAACGTGCTCTTGGGACGTTCCCTCTTCTTAAATGAGCCGGTTGAGTAATAAGGTACATCTGGGGTCACAGATGCAATAGATGGCGTGTTTGACTTCAGAGGAGAGGTGATGGGTGGCAAAGGGCAGCTGACTTCATTGTCATCAAAAGTGACCCAGCTGGGGAAACGAGCAGAGGTCACTGGAGTGGCAGCATGCCCATTCATGACAGGACTGCTGGCCTGCCAGCTGATGGCCTCCATGTCTACCTCTTCATCTTCCTGGAGTGAGGACGAGTTGTCTAAAAGAAAAGGAAAACACATGAGGGCTGCTATCCAGGGCACCTAGAAGTATGGGAAACTGAGGTATGAGAATGAGGGATGACTAGAATTTTATCTGGAATTCAATAAATCCCAAAGCAGCTCATTACCTGTCTCAAGTGCTTAGTCTGGGCACACATCTCATAATTTTGTAATAAGCACACAAGAAGGGCCTTATGTCCAATACAGTAAGAATACAAATAAGTCTATTGATACAGAAGCACTGGTAGGACCAAGTTCCCTTGCAATTGAACTCTTATACATTCTCACTTTTATGAGTTTCTAGGATAGATTTTTTTCTTTGCTCTAAAGTTTGTATTCTTTTTTTTTTAATATATTTTATTGATTTTCCACAGAGAGGAAGGGAGAGAGATAGAGAGTTAGAAACATCGATGAGAGAGAAACATCGATCAGCTGCCTCCTGCACATCCCCCACTGGGGATGTGCCCGCAACCCAGGTACATGCCCTTGACCGGAATCGAACCTGGGACCTTTCAGTCCGCAGGCTGACGCTCTATCCACTGAGCCAAACCGGTTTCGGCTGTATTCTTTTTTTAAATAAATTTTTATTGATTTCAGAGGGGAAGGGAGAAGAGAGAGATAGAAACATCAATGATGAGAGAGAATCATTGATCGGCTGCATCCTGCATGCCTCCTACTGGGGATTGAGCCCACAACCCAGGCACGTGCCCTTGACTGGAATCGAACCTGGGACCCTTCAGTCTGCAGACTGACACTCAATCCATTGAGCCAAACCAGCTAAGGCAAAAGTTTGTATTCTTAATTTTTAAACACTGAAAACCATCTCACACATAAAATGGTATAAAGCTGATTTCATTGAATAAAACAAGTTAGTTATCTGGTCTAAGTGATAATATGATCGCAAATAATATAATTAGAGGGATTTCTGCCCAAATGTGATCAATAAACATTGAAGACAAAATGTTAATATCCTTAATATGAAAAAAGTTCACACAAGTGAATAAGAAAAGTACAAAAAGTCCAATAGAAATACAGACAAAGGACACACACAGACGACTCGAGAAGGAGAAACTAAAAATGTCTAATAAGAATGTCCAATATCACTAGTAATAATAAAAATTCAAATTTAAAAAACCAGTGAAGATTTAAAGTTTTTAGTATTCAGTGAGGGGGATATGATATGAGCAGTAAACAGACCTTTAGTGAGACTGTAAGATGCTACAAACTCTGTGGAAGTGGATTAGCACTTTGACGGGCCTTACAAATGTTCATAAACGATGCCTTAAGGAGACAGACCCAAACTGTGAACCACATTTTGGATGAATGTGAAGAAATTGAGGCACACAATGGAATAATAGCATTAAAATGTTTACAAGTATGTAGCCACATGAGAAAACGCTTATGATATAATCTCTTCTTTTTTCTCTAAAATGCTTTTCTATCTTAGGGTTTTATTTTAAGAAAGGGAAAAAAAGGGTGTCTGCAAATAAAGCTCCACCCTAGCAGGGCATTCAAGGGAGATATAGGACTTGAGTTTCCATGCAGGAATGATCCAAAACTTCAAAATAGCATATACTCCTTGTGTCTGCTGTGGGAAGGAAGGAGGAAACAAGGAGGAGCAGATTTGGATGAAGGAATGACACAGAAAACAAATCTGTGTGTTTGGCATATAGTAGGTACTCAGTTAAAGTTTGATAATTGAATGAATGAGAACAGAAACTCTGCTTTGGGGAAGTTCTATTCTCTCTGTCCTCTAGAGCAGGGATGGGAATGTCCAGCCCACTAGCCATATAAGGCCCATGAAAACATTTGGTCTGGTCCTGCCAAGGCTTTAGGGACAAGTTTATTAAATGTGTGACCAAATAGAACAGGCAAGTTTTTAAGTTGATAATTTTGTACGTCTCGAGAATCCTATATAATAAAAGAATAATATGCAAATTGACCAAAGGGCAGAACAACTGGTCGCTACGATGGACACTGACCAACGCAGGAGCTGCTCCCTGGTGGTCAGTGTGCTTCCACAGGGGGAGCACCGCTCAGCCAGAAGTCAGCTCATGGCTGGCCAGTGCAGCAGCAGTGGCGGGAGCCTCTCCCGTCTCCACGGCAGCACTAAAGATGTCCAACTGACGTCTTAGGCCCGATCCTCCGGGGAGCAGGCCTAAGCCATCAGTCGGACATCCCTGGAGGGCTCCCGGGCTGCCAGAGGGATGTCTGACTGCTAGCTTAGGCCTGATCCCCCGGGAAGTGGGCCAAAGCCAGCAGGTGGACACCCCCTGAGGGCTGCCAGAGGGGTGTCTGACTGCCAGCTTAGGCCTGATCCCCCAGAGAGCAGGCCTAAGCTGGCAGGTGGACATTCCTAAGGGCTCTCGGGCTGCCAGAGGGATGTCTGACTGCCAGCTGGGGAGTGGGCCTAAGCTGGTGGGTGGACATCCCTCAAGGGGTCCCAGACTGCGAGAGGGCACAGGCCGGGCTGAAGGACCCCCCCGAGTGCATGAATTTTCATGCATCAGGCCTCTAGTATGTTATAAATATCCAAATGGCCCTTGGCAGAAGAAAGGTTCCCCTCCCCTGCTCTAGAGGAATGTGTACAGGGATCTCTGCCACTATTCTACCCAGTGTTTCTACTGCCAGGAATTGGGAATCAGAGAGAAATGAATACTCAAATGCTCCAGTCAAATAGTTGAGTTTTCTAAATGCCTCGCTCAACCTTCATGAATATCATATCCAACCATAACAAATCAGAAATGCCACCCATAATTGCAAATGTAATTACACGTGGATGGGAAGGCTGGCTTGCCATCCATCTTTCCAAGGATTTTTATTCACACAAACAGGAATTCCCTCTACTGAAAATGTCAGTTTGAAAATGTAGGCTACATACATGAGCATGCATAGGTATATATCCACATTCACCCTAGAAATATACAGATCAAAAAGTATTTTCTATATGTACAGCACCATAAAAGGGTTTCAAAGCATTTTAAAATTAAAGACACTATCCATCAAAATAATGGATCCCACTATAACGTCTCGCTGTTGTCTAATGGGGCCAACCACAGCTCCCGTAAGTCAAGGCCCCACTGTATGTTGTGTGTTCCTGATCAACCTGTTCTCTCTGGTTCAAACCCACTTTTATAGATGCCTATGTGACTTATTTTCTGGAAAATAAAGGGAAAGGGGTCAGGAAACAACGCAGGTTTTAGAATTTATATTTTATGTATTACTACTACTAAGGGAACAATGTGGCCCTGAGTAAAATATAATCACTTCCTTGGAGCTATAACTGACCCTCCCTACAGAGCTGGGAAGGGAGTGAACCTCGAAACCCATCAATTTCTAATGAATCGGCTCTATGGAGTCTCTGTAATGCTGAGTTCCACCCACCCTGTCTGGCACTGACCCACCCTTGTATCAGGGACATCCTTTCCGCCTTGGAGCTCATCACCACTCCCTGATTTAAAACAAGCTAAAGTCCTTTTCCTTTGGAGGCCCGCTTTCTGCCTAAACTGCCAAAGGATTCCCGTCTGTTGGGAATCTTGTCCCCAAAATAGTATTTCTCATCTTCCTTTCCCAAGCCAAAAAAGAAGGGGGAAAAAAGGCCTTTGTTTCCAGTGAAGGTAATTTTCTTACAATAAATTTATTTCTTTCATTTTTAAAAATATGTTTTTATTGAGTTTAGAGAAATTCCCGGGGGGGGGGGGCGGGGGGGGGGGGGAGAAACATCTATGTGAAAGAGAAACATCGATGGGTTGCCACCATAGATGCCCCGACTGGGGACCGAACCCACAACCTGGTGTGGCTGATACTGGAAACAATGGTAGAGGAAGCAAGCAAATTTCTCCAATAAGAAATCAGCAAAAACTAATTATTTTAAGAACTAAATTAACTATCATCCACAATTCTATTTTATTGACTCATTAAAATAAAACCAAAACCAAAAATCCAGCATTATTTTAATTACTGGTACTATCTCTTCCACTTGCTACTTCCAAATTGCTGTTATGATGAACTGGGCTGCTGCCAAACAAAAGCCACAGATGAAGGTTAGGTTCTTTTTTTACACCACAGGGGGAGTTTGCTGGACCTAAGAGCTTTCTGGTTAGCGTCTTAACTGATGCAAACCAAAGAGAAATGGTGGATTCTTTTCATGTTAGACCACAGTCTATTTTCAGTTCCCAGAAGATTAAATGAAATGATTACAATGGTAATCAAAGCCACCAAACTGAAGAAAATGTAAAAACTATGGGGAGAAAAAATAACCGTTTCTATGAGATTGTAAATCCAGCAGACACTCTGCCATCTTTTCCCCCTAATTGGGTAGCATAATTTGTTGTTAATGCAATGGCAAATGCAAAAATCTTATTGGGAGCTGTTCACTGGAATTCATTAGCAGTGGCAGGAAGAAATATTCTTAGATGATCACAGTTTTCTCAACATGAGATAGCAGTCACTGTTATACAAGAGCATATAGTTAAAACTGTATGACCAGCCTCAGACGCACAGTGGGCACTTAAATATTTGTCATATGTAAAGTGAAGAGAAGAACACAAATCACAGGATTGGGGGCTTGAAGAGATTTTAGAAATAGAACTTGATCTGTTCATTTTGCTGAGAAGACTGGGCCTCCGTGAGTTTAAGGAAACTGCCCAAGGTGAGATTATAAAGCAAGTCCTACATTTAATCATTAACTATTTTCTTAATGCTTGATTGTTAAGCTAAAATCTGGTTAATTTTTTTTCCCATTACCTTTTAGATTGGCAAGAGTTATCTTGACACAACTTTTTAGGTGCGTTCTTCAGAGAGGAAAAGAACTCAGCTAAACAAGGATTAACATCCATTTATACAGAGAAGCTTTTGGGCATGGGGTCAGGAATGTCACCCCCTGACATATGAAGTGTGTTGGTGAGAGAAAGGAGTTAGTCATCTAACCTTATCAAGGCAGCGTCTAATCTGAGTAAAATAAACTGGAACTTAGTTATCATCACAAACACACTGGTAA